CGGGGTGCTTTGGTGAATGACCCCCACCCCATCCGGAGGGGAGGGCTGCCCCTGGATGTCATGGCTGGGGCAAGGGTCCAGGACACTTGGGCAATAGCCAAAGCCCAAGCCCCAGGTCCAGGGCTGGTTTTGTCGAAGACACCACCATGGCACAGCCGGGGGCTGGACCCAAGAACCATCATACAGAAGGAAACACCAACAGGTAGGTGTATCTTTCAACCCTCTATCTTAGAACAAGCCTTCTCCATTGCAAACTTTTGCAGATGCTGTCTATTTAGACTGCCCTTCCTTCTCCTCCTCCCATCCCTCTGGAGCACTCCTATGCATCCTTCAAGATCCAGCTCAAACTTTCCTTTTGAAGTCTTTCCTGTCCAAATGATGTCCGCATCGTACATCCTTTTCTTACTGCTTTCTGGTTGACCTCAAAGCTTTTACTCTTGTCCCCTCAAACCTGATCTCTTTCTACTAGAACACAAAACGTGTGTCCCTCCCCTGTGGGAAAAACTGCCACTGAGCCCCCATTACCCAAAACAGTTCTCGAACTAAACAAGCATTAGAGTCACCTAGCGGGCTCCTTAAAACACAGACTCCTGGGCCCCACCCAGAGTCTGATTCAGCAGGGTTGTCTGAGCTGGGACCTAATATTTTACATTTCTAACAAGGTCCCAAGGCCTGCTGCTGCTGGTCTGGGAGCTGTAGCTTGAGAACCACTGATCTAAAAAGTCAAGTGCAAACTCTTCACCTTGGCATTCGAGGCCCTGCACGTCACGGCCTCCAATTACTTACTGCCCTCATCTTTCACCACATGCTGCCCTGATCCTAGGCTACGGATCCTCGATTATCCAAATGCCACAACTTTCATGCCTCCGCACCACCACCCATGCTGCCCCTTCTGCTGGAGACTCTTTCTCCGTTATCCACCTCGTTCCAGCACCTTCCAGGATTTCACAAGGTCTAAAACTCACGTCCTCAAAAATGAGAACATGGTACCTTTAAGGGTCTACAAAATGACAAGTGCAAGCTATAGGGGAAGCCACCAAAGAGGAGGGTGAGAACTGGTTTTGGCCACAGCAGCAGCCCTGGGGAAGAAAGTACCGGGCCAAAGTCAACTCTGGGGCAGAAAATCCTCATGTATCCATTTAAACCACCTCGTGACAGTCCCAGCCCAGTTATGAATTGTTCTTTTTCTCTATCTGGTGTTCCAGCCCTGTCACTTTTTAGCTATGTGGCCTTCGAGGGCAGGAGGGAGGAGGGCTTACTTAATCTCTTTGTTTCTCACTTTCATCTGTAAGATGGGGATAAAGGAACAACCTCAGAATGAAACTTCAGTGACCTAATAGAAGTAAAACTCACAGCAAAAGGCCTAACACACAGTGAGCTCTCAAAAACGTTGGCTATGGTTGGTATTATCTTTGGACCTGGGAAAGTAATGAACTTGGTACCCAGCCACAATCAATAATGTGAACAGACATACAAAAGATGTTTTTCTTGGGGATCCTGGTGGCTCAGTGGGTTAAACCTCCAACTCTTGATTTCGGCTCAGGTCATGATCTCACAGTTCATGGGTTCGAGCCCCACCTCAGGCTCTGCGCTGACAGTGTGGAGCCTGCTTGGGATTCTGTCTTTTTCCCTTGCTCTCTGCTCCTCCCGCACTCATGGTTGAGCGCACGCGTGCCCACTCTCGCTCTTTCTCTCTCTCTCAAAAATAAACTTTAAAAAAAAAAAGAGCTTAGGGGATGCCTGGGTGGCTCAGTCGGTTAAGTGTCTGACTTCCGCTCAGGTCATGATCTCGCGGTTTATGAGTTCAAGCCCTGCGTCAGGCTCTGTGCTGACAACTCAGAGCCTGGAGCCTACTTTGGATTCTGTGTCTCCCTGTTTCTCTGCCCCTCTCCACTCGTGCTCTGTCTCTTTCTCTCAAAAATAAATAAATAAACAGGGGCACCTGGGTGGCTCAGTTAGGTAAGCATCCGGCTTCAGCTCAGGTCATGATCTCACAGCTTGTGAATTCAAGCCCCATGCCAGGCTCTGTGCTGACAGCTCAGAGCCTGGAGACTGCTTTGGATTCTGTGTCTCCCTCTCTCTCTCTGCCCATCCCCGCCTGCACTCTGTTTCTCTCTCTCAAAAATAAACATTAAAAAAAATTTTTTAATTAAAAAAAAAGCTTAAAAATGTTCCTAAAGAGGTTCACAGACAAGCATGCAAAAAAACTCAAAGAGGTCCATCACAAAGTCGTTTATAATAGAAAATAAAAAAATTAAAAAAAAAAAGCAGCAGCCTAAATGCCCCAGCACTGAGAATGGCACAGCCAGAAGATAGAATTCTACAGAAAAGTCAAATATGAAGACACAGTGTTCTCCCACCGACATGAAAAGTTGTTCTTAATAGACCTTAAACAAAAAGAGTAAAAGGTAAGGGATAGGATACCAATTTTTCTTTTCTTTTAAAAACCTGTGGGTATGGGTACATATGTGTATATATTTAAAACCTTAAAAAATATATTCTATTATTAGGGGTTATCTGTGGTACAAAAATTTGCGTGGTTTTAATCCTTTTTTTTCTTTTGTTCTTCTGTATCCTCTTATTTTTCTCCAGGGATCATATATACAGTATTTAATTCTTAAAAGAAAGACTTTTTTGAAAAGCAGCTCTGTGAACAAGATAGAGGAAACAGGCAGGTTCAGGTATGAGGCCATGAGCAAGAGGCTCCGCCCCTTCCCGGGGGCCTGGAGAGCCTGGAGACCTTGGAAGAGGAAGGGCTTTGGAATCTGCAGCTGGCAGTCAGGGGGCAGTGGTTGTATCCTCCCAGTGACATCTAGGGGGTTCCAAAGAGCCGCTCAGAGAGGCAAAGGAAAGTTGGTTTCCATCCAGGGCTGGAAGGGGAGGTGGTTTCAGCGGACAGAGCTCTGGGTGGGGCCTGGGGGGCCACATTCTCACTCCCCTCGGACACTGGCTTCCTTCACTTCTGTGAAATGACAGGGATAAACCACGACAGTGGTTTCCCTAAACTGTTCTTTGGTTTTTCTTCAACAGCAGGATTCTTTTCTCAAATGAAACACAGATTTCCAGGGGCGCCCGGGTGGCTTAGTCGGTTAAGCGTCCGACTTTCACTCAGGTCATGATCTCGCGGTTCGTGGGTTCGAGCCCCGCGTCGGGCTCTGTGCTGACAGCCAGCTCAGAGCCTGGAGCCTGTTTCAGAGTCTGTGACTCCCTCTCTCTCTGACCCTCCCCTGCTCACGCTGTCTCTCTCTCTCTCTCTCTCCTAGAAATAAATAAAAATATTAAAAAAAAAAAAAAAAAGAAACACAGATTTCCCCACCAAGCATCAGTAGTCTGATGGGTCCAAAAAACCCAACCTGGGGTCTATTTCCCCTTAGTTTGTTTGTTTGTTTATTTATTTATTTATTTATTTATTTATTTATTTATTTATTTTGAGAGAGAGAGAGAAAGAGAGCGAGACAGAGCAGGAGTGGGGAGGGGAAGAGAGAGAAGGAGACGCAGAATCCGAAGCAGGCTCCAGGCTCTGGGCTGTCAGCAGGGAGCCCGATGCGGGGCTCGAACTCGGGAATGGCGAGATCATGATTAAAGTTGGACGCCCAACCGACTGAGCCACCCACGCACCCCATTTCCCCTTATTTTAAATGGGAAAAAATAAAAAGCACTACATCAACTCCAAACTCCCCATTAATTTCCTAAAATATAACTAAAACACAGTAACACGCTCTCTACACATAATAAACTATCACGATAGGAGGCTGAATGCTGAGAACAGCCCCTCGTAACCACCAGAACCACCGTGAGCCTTGCCATGTGCAGCAACAGGGACCTGGGCTGGGCTCTCAGCTCAGCACCAGCCGGCCCTTGGCTGTCTTTGCAAAACATCTATCTACCTGTGATTCTGACAGTCTTCCACTTGCATCTAGAATTCGCGGGCGACTTTTCCCGCACATGAGGTTGTGACAAATGTTGAGCTGAGTTTCGGGAGCATAAACACATTGCTCCACATACAAAACACTTGCCAAAAAATAGTTTGAAAAGACACGTATGATCTAGGGAGTCTGGGTTTTATTAACTGAGAGGCATTCATCCCAGTAGGGTGTCCATGAGACAAGCACTCTGCAGCACAGATACGCCCTACGAAAACCAGGGACACTGCAGAATTTCTCTAGAGAGGCTGGGAGTGAGGCTGCGCTTGGAAGGCGGGGCTTGAAGCTGCGTAGGCACCGTGCACATCCAGCTACGAGGCTGCTGACGGAGAACAAGGGGTGTTAGGGGACCCCCTTCTCTGGTGCCGCCACTGAAAAGAATCCCCACACAGCAGCCACAGGGGGTAGTAATAACGCCACTACCACAAATAATATAACTTATACAAACAATAAAACAGTCGACAGTCACCAGGCTCTTGCACCACCTGCCAGTGTGCTTCGAAGCACTGATCATGAGTTATTTCATTTGATGCCTGTAGTAACCAAATGAGCTAGGTAGTATTATTACTCCCATCGCACGGTTGGGAAAAACTGAGGTCCAGAGAAGTTAAGAACTTGCCTGGGGTTCTCTAACTTGTAAGTGGCAGAGCTAGGATTTGAGGCCCGACAGAATAGCTTTAGAATTCCATGGGGCACCTGGGTGGCTTAGTCAGTGAAGTGTCCAAATCTTGACTTTGGCTCAGGTCCACAACCTCACGGTCACAGGATTGAGCCCTGTGTCAGGCTCTGGGCATGAAGCCTACTTGGGATTCTCTCTCCCTCTCTCTCTGTCCCTCCCTCATCCAAAAAGAATTCCTTCCTGCTCCGAGCCACTGCCCCCACCCCCAAAAGTGGGGAGGCTATTGTAGAAAGGGAAGGAGAGGGGATCTGGAGCACCCAGGACGTCACCTGCTTCTCACCCCAGCCCGGCCCCCAGAGCAGACACTAGGGAAGAACGGGCAGCTGCAAACCAGCCTGCCCACCCCCCCGCCCCCGCCCGGCCACAAGGACCAAGAGGGGCGGGCGGGTAGCCCTTACCCATAGCTTTCCGTCATAGAAGTAGGCTCCCAGGAGCTTCACAATGTAGGGGTGGTCGCAGGTGGCCAGGATGTCGATCTCCACGGTGTAGTCCTCCAGCTCCTCCTCGCTCTTGGTCTCTATTACCTTGGCGGCCGCCAAGGCACCCGTCTCCTTGTTCTTGGCCTGCAGGGTGGAGACAAAGAGGGTGAGTGAGGCCGCCAGGCAGGAAACCGCGCCCCGGAAGCCAGCTCGGAGAGGCCCACGGCCGAGGCACGAGACCCTCCGCTGTTGACAGTGGCCGGCGCTGCTCATCGCATCAGTGCGGGGAGCGCGCATGACAGACGGCGACGGCGACCCATGCCGGTGTTGTTTAAAGTACAGCGCGTCCACATGATGCGATAAGTAAAAATCCACAACAGCGTCCCTACAAACACCAACACGGGAAGATGGCTACACTGTTGGGTAAGAGGGCCGAGTCACTGAACAATGAAGTGGTAGGACACACTTCTGTAATAGTGGAAAATTGGGGCGCCTGGGTGGCTCTGTCGCTTAAGCGCCCAGCTCTTGGTTTTTGCTCAGGTCATGATCTCACGGTTCCTGGGTTCAAGCCCTACACCGGTCTCAGCAATGATGGTATGGAGCCTGCTTGGGATTCTCTCCCTCTTTCTCTGCCCCTCCCCGGCTTGTGTGCACTGGTGCTCTCCCTCTCGCTCTCAAAATAAATAAACTTAAAAAAATGTTGAGTGGAAAACTGTTCATAAATGCTCACAACTGCACACAAATGCATGGAAAACTCTGCAAACATGCTGTCCGGCAGCAGGCTAGGAAGGTGCCTGTAATGGGGAGATTTAAAGGGCACCTTCACTCTCTGCATGTTGTTTAAAAACCTTAAATGGAACATTTCATACGTTCATTTGCATATCTCCCACACGTTAAAAGTAAAATGAAGAGGTTTTAAGTTCCTACCAAGTGCAGTGCAAGTGCTTCCTAGACACATCTCACTGGCATAACAACTGCTTATTTGATTAAAAAAAAAAAAAGAGGGGGGGGAATTTCACACCTACAAGGATAGCTAAAAAAAATTTCTTTTGAGACAGAGACAGAGAGCATGAGCAGGGGAGAGAGGCAGAGAGAGCGAGAGAGAGTCCCAAGCAGGCTCCTCACTCAGTATGGAGCCCGACGCAGATCATGACCTGAGCTGCAATCAGGAGTCAGACACTCAACCAACTGAGCCGGTTTTTTGAAAAATGAAAAACAGGGGCACCTGGCTGGCTCAGTCAGTAGAGCATGCAACTCTTGATCTCAGGGTCGTGAGTTCGAGCCCCGCATTAGGTGTAGAGATTACTTAAAAATAAAATCTAAAAGAAAAAGAAAGGAAGAAAAGTAAATGTCGGTGAGAATGTGGGAAAACTGGAGCCTTTGCGCATTGCTCGTGGGAAGGTAAAATGGGCACTCACCATGGATAACAGTTTGGGGATTTCTCAAAAGGTTAAACGTAGAACCACCATGGCCCTGCGGACAGACACAAAAGCACTGACAGCAGGGACCAGAGCAGAGGTCTGTCCACCAATGTTCACAGCAGCACTATCCACTAGCGTCAAAAGGTGCAAACGAGCCAAATGTCCATCCGCAGATGAATAAACAAACAAGAAGTGGAATATACCTTCAATGGAATGTTATTTGGTCTTGAAAGGGAAGGGAATTCTTTTTTCTCTTTTCTTTTTGTCTGGGAAACTCTGTATTTCTCCTTCTATCCTGAACGACAGCCTCGCTGGATAGAAAAAGGAAGGAAATTCTGACGCATGCTAGAACATAATGACCTCATGCTCAATGAAAAAAAGCCAAGTCACAAAAGAACAAATATCGTGTGAACCCACTTACGTGAGATGCCTACAGGAGTGAAATTCAGAGACAGGTCATATAATCGAGGCCACCAGGGTGAATGGAGAGTTAGTGTTTCACGGCACAGAGTTTCTGTTTGGGATGATGGAAAAGTTCTGGAAATGGACAGTAGGGAAGGTTGCACAACATTGTGAATGTACTTAGTGCCACTGAACTGTACTCTTAGGGCTAAAAATGGTCAGTGTTCTGCCATGCATACTTTACCACAATTTTAAGAACTGAGAGAGAGACAGAAAGAACACGTGAGCGGTGCAAGCAAAGTACCCATGAGGAGCTGGTGTCAGGGAAAGGGAACAGAGCCCACAGGCCCTCAGGCGGCCCCATGAGCCTCAAGGGCCGCTGGGAACATTCACCCACGGCACCGCGTGGGGCTCGGGTGTTTTAAGAGAGCCGCCAACATGGGCCCAGAGGGCAGGCCGGTCGTCTGGAGCCCTTGACTAGCCATCTGTGGGAAAGCACACAGAAAACGGGCTGCCCTGTGGTCCCCTCCTGAGGACAGTATCACGCGCCACTCACTTCACAGGACAGCTCTGCGAACCGCTCCTCTCCATGGTGATGGCCCAGCGGCCCCTGCAGGCCTAGCACCCCAAGAACAACAGTGAGCATTCGCATCCCCTCCCAGGACGCCAGAGTACCCAGCACCTCAGTGTCCCCATTCTACAGGCTTACAGAGGGGATGTGGCTGGAACTAGAATTTGAACCGAGCTCCAATAACTTCCAAGACCCTGAACACTTTCCCCTGCTGTACACGGTCTCCCTTATCAGCTCCGGAACTCAGAAGCCCTAAGACCAGATGCCCACAGGAACCTACGAGACAGCTCCCAGGCTAGCCCCGCACAGGGCACCCTCTCCGCAGAGACAGAGAGACCCTCACCCTGGCCTCAAGGTCCAGCCGGAGGCCCACCCTCTACTGCCAGTGACCAGAGAGCATGCTTGCGGGGAGAGGGGTAACTGCGAGGGGGCGGCAAACCCCGCCAGGGAACCTTGTGGAAGGGGATGATGCCAACAGGCAATGTTTACGCTCATCTGTGAACTGATTCTCAGGCTAGGTAACTGTTTCCTTTAACAGCGCTGCCAAGCCCCCAGGGGCCCCTGCGATGATAACAATGGTCTCCCATTGATCAAGGTCACTGGTCTCCACGTGGATTAGCTCCTTCATCTCTTCAACCTCTCTACATCCTGTGCTATGACTATCTCATGCACAGATAGTCAGAGGAGACTGAAGCAGAGTCCCCAGCACAGGTGACAGGGCCAGTCTGCATGGACGCAGCCCTGCTCCCAGGTCTGCACTCTGGCCGGCACACCCTTCCTCCACCAGGTCCCTTCCACATGAGGCCCAGAGGCCCAGTGCAGGGGAGGGAATTTCCTGTGGGGCCATAACCCAGGGTGAGTCCATGTGCTACAACTCACCTGCTCACTCGCCCCCCCGTAAGTGGGGGCCGCGCCCCTAAACTCTGTTTTGAAAGCTTGTCGAGAACACCCAAGAAACTCATGAATTCAGCCGTTGGGCACTTGCGCTCTGGTGCTCACTCGCATGTGCACACACTCTTTCTCTCTCACACCTGATTGCGTACCTACCCTTTCACTTCCGGGAAGGCTGATTTTTGAGTGCCCGCAAGAGGACCATCAAAGCACCCTTTCACACTGCACACCCCTCTCGCTCCTCCTCCTCTCCAAACCCAGAAGAGGAGGTAGGGCCCACTCTGCTCCTTTACCAGGAAGAAGGTGGAGAGCCTGGCAGGCAGCCAGGGCTAGGGCCTGGTGAGCACGCGACCACCTTGACCGTGCTCTCGCAGCACCCAGCCAGGGCAGCATGGGGGAGAGCTGAGCTGGGCAAACGCCACCCCCTCGATCATTCACCTTTCATTCCTGAGAGCCGGTCAAGGAGGCTTCGAGTCACCTCTTCCTGGGTTTCCTTACTAGTATTTCCTCCCAGAAGTCGGGGAGGCCCAGGCAGGGACCGTTTTCCATCAGCGCACAAAACCTGCCTTGCCCGTCGCCCTGAAAGGCAGCATTGACCACAGGGCCGGGCCTCCAGCTGGGCGCCAGTATCAACACCGAGGAGCGCCCGCTGCCCAGCACCTCGCTCGGATTACCAAGACCAGAGCCTGCCAGAAAGGGGTTAGCTGGCAGCGTCGAGGTGCAGAAAGTGACTTCGCCAAAATCACATTCTTTAGAAGTCTGGTTGAGGCAGCAATCTATCACCTCCATGCCAGAAGACGTAATAAAGGCTGATGATAAAAACAGCTAACACTGCCTGCGCACTCACTCTGTGCCAGGACGGGCCTTAAATGGAATTTCTCACCTCATTTCTCACCTCACCCTCCACCCAGCCCTTGGAGACAAGTATCAGTAACCCCAACTTCCAGATGAGAAAACAGAGGTTGCGAGATGCGTGGTGATTTGCCTCGGGTCACACAGCAAGCAGGGAGTGAAATCAGATCTGGATCAGAATGTGGCTGGCCTTGCTCAAAGAGCCTGAACTCTAAATCTCTTCCCAACCAGCCCTCTCTGGGGAGTACACAGAGCTCCCTGCTGCACCTCCCATTGCTGAAGATAAATGAATATAGACCACAACCGATAACATGCTTAGCAGTTACTAAGTAGTTAAAATACCAAACTTTAATCCGCCCACATGCCTCTACGGCAGGTATTCGCCATCAAGCCCATTTCCCAGATTAGCAAACTAAGGCTCAAAGGCTATCAGGACCCACCCAGGATTGTGAGCTGTGGTGGCCTCCATACCCCCCATCTCCACCCCCACAACCCTGCCCTTCAGTATTCTCTTGACTACACAAGGCTGCCGGGAATCAGCTTACTCCGGGTTCGTTCATTCAACCATATTCACTGAGCTCAGGTTCTAGGGGAGGCCCTTTTCTAGTGAACAGTTTTTGTTGGAAGGAGCACTGGTGGTAGGAGTTACTGCCCTCCCGTGACATAATTCACCCTTCCTGATTTTCCTTCGGGGCGAACCTAACCCACCCTCATTCCCAGTCCCTAAAATGCCCAGGAGCAGAATCCACCTCCATCTCTGGGAGTGGGTGGGTGACTCATGTAGGTCAATCAGAAGATGATTGGCCTAGGGAGGGGGATGTGATCACATCAGCCAATGAGCTGCAGCCTCAGAACAATAGCAGCGCTGGAAGAGATAACCCCTAACCCCACTTTATGCTAGCCTCTAGCATAAACATTTCATGAAAGTGAAACTCCCTGAAGCAACAGAGCCTAAAGAGGGCACAACAGGACACTGTTTGACCCCCTCAGTTAAGTTTTATACCAGT